AGAGAAGATAGAAAGGTGCGAGGAATGAAGCTGTATTCTGTGCACCGCTGAAAGTGTTGAGAAGCGTTGATGATACGAGTGGCTTCGAAGTGTGACGGCGCCTGACCGCCGAACTAGAGCCATCCAATCGAACTGATTCTTCAAAGGATTGCCACACTACCCCACCACCCACTTTTGGCGTTTGATCTTCCCCTTGGAGACTCTGACGAGAATGATGAGCCGAACGAGCATGGACCAGAGCCCGAGCCTGATGGTGGCTCGTGATCTTGAGCTGTAATGCTCATGATGATGAGACGTGGTCACTGCCGCATCCCGATTTCGCAATGCCCATACGTGTGCACAACGAACGACTGCCTTGATCGACTGCTTCATTCTCGACATCAGCGCTTGATGTTTGGATGGCGAGGCTTAATGTTCAGGACTGGTTTTGTGCCAGTAATCTGCGGCCGCGCAGCCGACTTACCACTTGAGACAGCAGAGCTTGAGTTTGTGACGTTTGCTTCATGCCGCGTTGTGTTTAAAGATACTCCAAAACTGGCTTCTTGAAAAGACTTGCTCGTGAAGTGACACCGCCACGCTTGAAGCCCATAGCGCTGCCGCACGCTAAAGCAGTTCGTGCAATCCAAGCGGCTTGTTGACTTGGCTTGGACTGGGTACGTCCCGCTCGCCTCCGAAGACATCAGACTTTGTGCGAGTGTCTGCGAGTGCACTTTTGAGTCAGCAACTGTAAGGCGACACATGTATAGAGTTTGCTTGCATTCATCCCGAAGCCCAAACATGCTTGTAGGCATCTTGCCGTGCGGTTTGGAAGGCCTGAAAGGCGAACACAAAAGGAAAGCATGCCTCTCAATTACTCGAGGATGCTTTGGCGGGGTGTTTGTGTTTTAGATTCTGTGGGGAGCTCACGTTTTGGGTGGTGGAGAAACGTTTTCACTTTTCCCATTTCGTTTTCCATTTTCATGCTCCAACATTTTCATGTGTAGCAGTTTTGCTGTCGCCTTGCATTGCATGCTGATTCTGTGCATTCGTAGGTGTTTGAATAATCAAGCAAAACATTCAGAAGCAGAGAAGAGAGAGGGTTCGAGAATCGTTTGTATCCTTTCCGTGTGTTCTCTCCTTTGGCTATGTACTTGAAGCCATATCTTCGGGAAAATGTTCTATCTGTGCCGCTGAAACATTCTATCTCTGCCGCTGGGACAAATATTCTATCGGCATCGTTTTTCAGGAAATTGTTCAAAAAAAATAGATACTCTATTTGCATCGAGTCAAAAAATAATCTATCGCCGCCGTAGTGAATGCAAGTAGCTGTCATACTTGGAACCCAAGTTTGACTCAAGCATTCAGCTTGCGAAGCAGGGACGCCAAACGGAGATGCACATTCTGCAGCTATCCCCCATTGACAATTGGTGGTTTGTGCTGCTGTATACCTGCGCCGTTCAATCTGCACTGAGCATGTTGGTTCGTCACAGATGGTGTCCCACACTTGCGGCTCTAAGAGTGCCCAAAGACCCTGCTAAATCATCCTTCACCCCCATCCCTCGACCCCAGCACTCCTTTCCCTCCGCTGGCAGCGCTGCGATTGCGAGTGCCCGAACAGGATTGAGCCAGACAGCTGAACTTCACCCCTTAATTAGGCATGTTCATGGGATTCCACTGTCCCCACACACAGCTTGGAAACGTTGAGGATTGTCAAGGTCTTGGGAGAAGCACGCCCACGGCACCTCTCCTGGAAACACTTCCCTGGCGAGGCCAGGCGCCGAGTGCAGTGCAGGGTTTTTGCTTGATGATGAAAGCTTCTTCGGTGCTTGAGACTACCCGAAACTTGGCGCCACTGGATTGTCGCAAGTTCGTTCCCGAGCCCCACATTAAGTCGCCAGCTACATTCGTTTTGACTGGTTCAAGAATGTGCAGTCGATGTGCGAAGTTGTGGGTTCCTCTCCAAGGAGGATGCAAGTAGAGGATTCAGGATTTTCGGAATTTTTGAAATTACAGAGTAGGACTTCGCGAGATGCTCACAGGTGGTGAGCACCGTCGCGGGCAAGGAGTCCGAGACGACCTACAAGTTTCAGCACCAGGCGTTTGACACTTCGAAACCGTTAGTTGCCGAAAGTTCGAGCCTGTGCTAGGCTTGGAGGATATCGAAGCTGCCGGAGGCCGCCATACCTCAGGCGCCATTGTAGCTGACAGATACTTGTAACAGGTAGTGAGGTGCTAGGGTCTCTCGCAGGCACAGTGCCACCACGACATCGAGCCGCTGCTTGGCAGGTGTTTTGCACTTGTTGATTCCTAAAAGTCGTCACTGACACGGCATACGGTGCACGGAGTGCGCACTGGCAAACACTTTCCTGGATGAGACAAGAGTGCTCGAGAATTGACAGGGATGTGGATTGCGGATTCGGCTCTGCCAAGGTTTTCCATCCACTTGAAACGGATGAGAAGAGATGGTACCTCCACGTACCCCGAGCTGATCGTATTTGGGATGTTGTCCCTGCCTGTAGGGGCTATGCAACCATGGGCTCCTTGTAACCTTTGTTTCTGCTGCCACCTTGGGCTTTGTTGTATCAGTTGAAAGCATGGACGATGGCGTGGCTCGTCAAACCTTCTTTGAGAACGTAAGCTTCACAGAAGTCAAGAAGCGCATGAAGACTGAATGGACCCGACTCCTAACTTCTCGTTTCCTCTCTGCCATACTCACCGACTCTTCCGCCTCGGCGGCTCCCCTCGGCGAGATCCATGAGCTTGGGACTCAGCCACTCAGCACCATTCTGTGCAACGTAAAATTGCTTTTGTTTTGTGGCAGGGACGACGTCTATGGATATCGGCAAGGCCTTCAGCTTGCGAAGCCTGCTCCTTAGCATCCCGAGCGGTGCAGAGGTATGCAGCTATTTCTTTTCTTTCTGAGCTCCAAGGCTATTCGGACACCCGGCTCCGTGACTACAACGTCACCCAGAGCCAGCCACGCGTTTGCTGTTTCGGGCTGTCGGCTGTTCTGCATGCTTTCACCATGTGCCCGGCTACAGAGAGGGAAGCCATGAGGGGAACCCACCCTAAACATCCTTGGCCCTGCGTGTTGAGGTCTTCGTTCTCGAAGATGCCCGGTCCCAGCCTTAAGAAGGTATAGTCATAGTCACTGCGCGGCACTTTGTGGCTGTTTCGGTTATGCTTCGGATTCTGGCACGCTTGCGTCTCACGGGGAGATCCCTAAGCCGGGAGGGGCCGATCGGCGACTTGCTTTGCAGCGGTTCAGGTCTCACGCAGTCCTGGGCGGTGCTAGATCCTCGACCGCACCTGGAGCTTTCCACACGAATCCCACGCGCCTGTCCTCCGCAAGCTGTCTGTGCCTCGCACCGCATCGGAGGATGTTGCAGAGAAGGAGCCCATGGTCAAAGCCTTGCGGCGATCTTCAGCAGCTTGCTCAATCCTTGAGATGGTCCACGGAGTACCTCTTCTCACATGATGGGGCCAGCCATGAGTGTGGAAATGTACGTAATTGGTCGGGGTTGTGTGGATTTGGTCAGATCAAGCTCGGTTTCGCGAAGCCGAACTTCAACTCAACGAGCAGCCAGGGACCCGGACCTGGTAAGCCAGGTTTGTTTTTGGAAGCTCAGAGTCTGTAGCCGCTGTAGTCGTGAGGTTTCTTTCGTCATTTCATGTCAGGCGTATATTGTTGGTCCATGCTAGCCGCTGAGGAATTGATTTCCGGCCTTTCACCCAAGCAGAGCAAGGCTGGTCTGGCAGGGCTTCTGTCAGGTGATCTCATTGGAAGAGGTCCTGCAAGAATCTCTGCTGGGAGAGTCTGGAAGTTTCGGCTTCGGTGAGCTGAGTTGCTGGAAAAACCTTGTGGGGTTTGTATTGGTGAGGCGCTTCCCAAGGCGCCATGGATCCTGCGGTCGAGGACTCATGCGACTGACAGGGTTTATGGCAAAGGACTAAACCCTGAAAGTACCGTACGGTTTAGTAGTCCAGTTTGTTACCCTCTTATCATGTCCCCATGGAGTCTACCGTGAGTGAAACTTACTGGCCCCTTGTGCCACTAGTGCTTCTGGAAGCTTGGGAGTCTGCCCGAAACGAATGCATTTTAGTTAGGCTGCGAATCGACCTCCGGAAGCCCGCATAGCAAAAAATCTCCATGGAGTAGCCCTAACAGTAACCCCTTGTGGCAGCCTTCAGTTTAAGTGATTTGGCCTAGGCCAAGGCAGATCTGCGAGCCGTGCATTACCGGCTGGGTCTGCATCCCAGGGCCTCAAACCATGGTATTGGGCTGATAGCAAGGATGTGACAGAATTGATTATCGTGGACATGTGCGCTTGCGCGCGCTAATCAGTATGCGGGTTCCGGCAGTCCAATGTCAGGTGAAGACGGGCCAAGCAGGGTGAACTACGTTCCTTGGCTTGGGGTTTATGCTTGAGATGCAACTTCTCGGTGGAAGTAGAGAACCAAGCTGCGTTACGTGATACCAGCTGTGGTAAGAATACCCATTGTCACATTGTATTTGCGATCGATTTAAAATGCCTGGGAAACGAGTGTTGGACACATTATTTAAGCAGGTGCGAGAACTGCTGTGCGTTGTTGCCTCCGAGGTGTGGTATGAGTCAGAGCTCGACCGCTGCGCTAGGCCGGGGGCCTAGGGTGGGCCTCCCTCAAGGGTCTGGCTCATCATCGAACCATGAGACTTAGTCTATACTGACTATACCTCCTATGCGGAGGAGCCATTGGGATCCGACGAGGAAAGTGCAGGCGCGGCAACAGAGTCAATCCGGCATGAAGTCGCTCGACAGAATTTTTTCTATTTCGGATCTCGAGACTCTCGGCTCCTGTTTCTTCTCTCGGCAGCGTGTTGTGTTTGTGCAGGTGCCCAGTGGCCAGCTCGGAGAAGCTAGCAGGAAGCTGTCAACAGAAGGAACAGGACACCGCAGACCCGAAACCCGAAGACTTGACGACTACAAGGAAAGGTCAGGAGGGGGAGTACAGGGCGACAAGGAGGGGACCGGGAAACCGGGCAGGAAAGGCGAGAGGAGAGTGTAATATCCGATTGATTGTGAGCTTGGGGTAGAAGGGCGAGCGCCACATGTGGAAGACCCGGTGATGGGGAGGCTAGGGTGGGGAATCCGTCAGACGGGGAGTAAGGGCGAACGCAGACAGCCATGCCGGTGCTGCTGGTATTACAATGGTCTGCTAAGTCTAAGTAATCTGATGTAACAGTTTCCGTCTCTCTCCAAAGTTTGCGCTTTTTTGACTTTCTGTGGCGAGGCGTGGCAGCTTCCCCCGGAGTCGCCAATGACACGCTCCAAGCGTGCGGCCCAGGGACCCGGTTCAAGTCAACCGCAGCGTACAGGTTTAAACAGGGCTTTTCTCTTTTGGGGCACTTTGGGCTTTCGGAAATCGATTTGTGTACTCCTCCAGCGACATGCTTGGGCAAGACTTTGCATCCAAGGCGAATCGGAAAAACACTGCGCAGCTTTCGTGCCGATCGTGCAGTAACGCGCTGACGCAGCCTAAGGCCTACGTAGAACAATGCTGGTTTCAGCGAAGGCAGTACTTCAGACTAGCAAGTAGACAGAAGCATGAAAAAGTTACCGCGGTGCGCTGTAGTGTAATCTAGATGTTGCAAAGAGCTGTGAACTGAAAATTTCGCGGCGGTGTCACCAACCCTCGACTCTCCCGGAATGGGACCCATGAGAGGAGGATGTGTGCCTTGGGAGCCCAATGCCAAGGAATGGTTTGGCGGTGCTAAGAGGAGTTGGAAGTGGCTTCCGAGGATTTTTCACTCCTCTCATTTCTATAGTCTCTAGCCTATAGTTGACTAAAGCCTCGGTGGCATGTGCACCCGCCACCGCGTGGCAATGCAATGGCTCAAGAGGCTAAGCCATCGATCGATGTCAATCGCGACATGCCCCTGAAGTGACCGGGCCACGTGCACTACCGAAGTCCTCAGAGTCATGGCGGGAGCCAAGCTCTGCCTTGACTTTGACTCTTGTTGGCCGACTACTTCAAAATCGATGGCACTGGCGGGAGCAAGCGTGAGCTTGTGGCTTCTGCTCAAGCGGAGGTACGATTTTGGAGCTTCCTTATGGTTTTCTGTGCACCTCTCCGCCAGGTTGCCTGGCCGCACACGAAGTGACCCTTCCGAGTCCTGCGTTTTCCGTGCCCCAGGTGCGTGGAGGTGCCGTGAGCATCGGCCACTTCGGCCGGGAAAGCAGCTCCGCGGCCGCCCAACCTCGATCGCTTTTTACCACTTGCAGGCCGGCATGTGTCCCTATCTCGGCATATGCAGAAACACAGCTAACCTCGAACAGAAGATACAGGGCCAAATCGAATATCAAGCACCAGGTTGTCCGTGGAACTACCCAACACAAAGTGCAACATGAGCAGCGAGAAATGGTATGGTCCAGAAATGAGACGCTGTAGCAACAGCAGGCTGATGCATCCACCGCCTTGTGGTGTGGGGGGTCTGTGCCCGCATAGTATGATGGTTTCTCTAGCTATCATGCCTTGATTCACAACACACGGAGCTGCAAGCCCGGCAAACCAGTCCCTGCCAGATTCTGATTTCATGCTTGTAGCGAGTAGAAGGCGATCGCGAAAGACTTCCCTGAACTTGGGGCTTGAGCTGGCAGCTGTTGTCATTGTTCTGCAGGTGTGCAGGGAGAACGATCTGCCGACCAAAGGCGACGAGAGTTGGGCCCGGATGATATTTTCAACCGAATGTTTGTTTGGTCGCTTCCTGACATGCAATGAGACTCAGCAGGCCTTCTCGGGGTGGCCCCAGCATCTTCGATACGTTAGTCAGCTGCCTGCCTTCGAAGACTTCCAGCCCTGGCCAGAGTCCCTCGGTGTCTCACCAAGGGGTGGCGGTAGTCGAACAAGCGAGTTCCGGACTCGGCAAAGTGGTGCTGCTGGTGGGTGACTTTGTCCACGGCGTCTTTCGAATGTACCTTGGCATCGCCTGAAGGGTGACCGATGTGCTCCACACAGCGTTGACTACCGAGACTTGTGAACTCACGTCAAGAAGGGTTCAGCAAGATTCGGCGAACTCCTTAGGTGCACTTCGTGGCGCAAGGCAATGCTGCATTTCAGCAGCTTGCATATTCCATCTGCTTGGTATGCCCTTTCCAAGAGTCCCCTCGGGCACCTGCGCACAGACACCAGTTCCATGTCTTGTTTCTCAGACTTCTCGCGCTCTTTCTGTTGCCCCAGGTGGAGCCCCGAAGTCGAGGAAGGTATACAGTGTCTGGACTGAAGGAGGGAGCAGCAGCCTTGGATCAAGACCTAGGGAATGAAGTTGCAGCTGATGTAGCTCGATTCCTACCTTAGCCACTCCAGGGTGATTCTCGGATTCTGACGTAGAGGGGTCGGAAGAAAGGCGCGAGACTCTGTTCGACTTTTGACCTCTTGTGGCTCAAGCAAGTGCAAGAAGTTAGTCGAGTAGGGCGTACTGAGAATGATGAGGGTGCCTGTGCAAGCAATGTACCGCCACCAGACCGTCATTGCAAATCATACTTGCCGAATCCATCACCGTCGTACAACCGCAGCTGATGAGAGCAAGGGCGCTGCTTTTGCTACTCTTCGCTCTCAGCGAGGCGGTTAATGTTGACAGCCGGGTACCCGGCACCTCTGATTTGCTCTTACTGGAAAAGACCCATTCTGTCTAGGTCTCTACGAGTTCGTGGACAGCGCCAACTGCAGCCACCTTGGCCCCTGGCATTTCCAGGCCTACAGGGTGCCGATGGCAACGGGTGCTGAGGGGCAGAAAAGACGCGGTTGATGCTATCAGGTGCCTGTGCTGGCTGGGCAGCTGGGCTTCTATGGCACTCTCGGTGTGGATCTTAAGTCCACGTTCCCCTCATTCACTGTGCTCTTCTTTCCAATCTGCCCAGGTGACAACGTGCCGGGACCCCTGGCGCGGTTTCGGCTGCCACGTGCCCTGGCACTCGACGAGCTCGGGCAGAGGCACTTCGGGTCCGTTTCTCTGGCACCTGGCAGCTTCGTCGCTTCATGTTCCTGCTGTTTCGGCAGGCTCTTCGTTTCCGATGCTGCCAACCACGCTGTCCGTACAGTGTCCCTTTTGGAAGGTACGGAGCTCGAATGAAGCGACAAGGGCGATTCAAAAGATCTTTCTGGCAGGCAACCACATCTCCACCGTCGCTGGCCAGCTAGGTGTTTCGGGCCGCAGTGGTGACGGAGGCCATGTTGGAATTCTGTGGGCCCGTGGCCCGTGCTTCTGGAGAGGCCCTGCGCTGATGGCGACACTCCTCGAGCCGGCTGGCTTGGCTCTAAGCCAAACCCACCTCTTTGTCTCCGACCAAGGCCCTTCAAACGTGAAAAAGCGCGAGCATCCTTCACTTGAGGGGTTTGTGCACAGGCAACCATGCGGTGCGAGTGGTGGACTTGATCTCAGGGCTGCTTGGTGTTGCTGAAATCTGTGTGCTGTGAGAAGGCATCCAGGGATCCCAGTTTATGTCCGTCGTCTTAGGATCATTACGACCGTTGCCGGGATGCCAGGATCACGTGGCGACGCAGCTTGCCTTGCCTTATTCTCCGATGCTATGATGTCTTTGACGTCTTTGATGTGTCGGGCTGTATCGATCGGGCATGGCAGCCCAGGCAGGGGACCAGGGCTTGGCGACCAGCGCGCGGCTGGACTCGCCGGCAGGTTTGGCCCACGGCTCCAACCTTTTGTGCCCTCTTTCGTTTCGGGTGGTCTCGTTGTGTTGCTTTTGGGCCTTCTCATTTGATCTTTGTACTGACGAGGTACATAGCAGATTCTGGGAACGGCCGCGTTCGAGTCCTTGACACTGGGTCTCCCGGTCTCGATCAGATCTCAAGCACATCTGTCCTCCGTTCGGTTTGGAATCCGGCACTCTTGAGGTCTGGCATGCTGACCACCGTGCCAGGAGCGCGGTCTCTGCGGCCACAGGGCCTCGCACTGGACGAGGCCGGGGAGGAAATCTAGAAGGGTATCCCTGTAGCGTGTGTTGGTCATTGTTGGTTATGGCCATCGCCTAGGATCTTGTATTGTATTCTACATTCTGGAAGTTGTTTTCGCAAATCTTAGGCAGCACCTAGTTTCCGTTTCAAGACTCCGGGTCGCGATCCGGACGAGTGTGAGGCGACGGTGCCTTCATTTCTGGTGACACGATGGTCTATTTGTGTATTTGTATATTTATACTTACAATTGCTGCTGCTGCTGATGATGGTCATGGTAAGAGTTGTGATTTGTTGGAGTTTTCGTTTTCAATGTGATGTTAATTCTCTTCTTGTTATCGTCCTCATCATGACCATCATTATCATATTTAGCACTATCATGACTGTCCTTGTGACAAGGAAAGGATCCGTAATCCTGTGACCGTCATTATCATTATTCTTACTATATTTAACTACATTTTTTTTGTTAGTATTCCTGTCTTCGAATACGTACTATTGCCAATGCTAATGCTATTGCCATTGCCATTGTTATTGCTGATTCTTACATCCTCAACATCGTTCGTTATCACTGAAGTTATCACTATCTTTAACATTACACATACCTTTGTCATTATCAGTCTCACTTCCATTATCATCATCATTACAGAAGCGAGGGGATTGAAACAACAAATTCTTCCACACAACAGTCCCCTCTCAGAAAGGACTGTTGCGTGGGACCATGATCATTGTCATAGGCATTGATGTTGTTCTTATTCTTATTCCTATTACTTTTACTTTCTGCTCTCTGCGATTATTGTGACTTTTAAACACATTAGTGATACTTATTGTCGCAATGCGGATACAAAAGCAGTCAGGTTTTGTACGATTATCACATGTCACAGACACGCACACATCCACACCTCCCACCAAGTGGTTTTCGTTCTATTGTCACTAATATTATGATGCCTATACTACATGTTTTTGCAACTGTTGCCATTATTGCTTCGATTCCCAGCATTGCCTTCGTTGCAGTTTTCACTGTTACTGTTACTATTACTTACAAAGGCTATTCTTACTATTGTTGCTATTAATATTTTGGTTATTTGTACTACTATTACTGTTGTTACCATGTTTACTGTCATTTCCAATATTGCTATCACTACGGTTATTGTTGTTCTTACTATTTTGTTTATTATCTTTAGTGCTGTTGCTACTATTTCTATTGCTATTAATACTCTTATGACAATTATGACTATTAACACTATGTTTTGGTTTGCCCATCACAATTGTTTTGATTACTTGTGGGACTACTTTTCCTATTTTCAATTTTTGCGATTCTTATTGTTATTGCTATTTTTAGATTACCCTTGCTATTTTCACGATTTTCTTTTTCCTTATTGGAGTAATTATTACCAGTAGTTCTACACTACTACTACTACTACTACTACTACTACTCCTGCTGCTGCTACTACTGCTGCTACTACTACTACTACTACTCCTACTACTCCTGTTACTACTGCTGTTGCTACCATGATTAATGGTACTATCACGAATCATTGCTATTATTATCATTCTTACTATTGTTGTTACGATTACAACACATTACGATAATGACTATCACCATGTTACTGTAGATATGATTATGGCGATGATTACTGCCATTACGATTATGACTGTTTGAACCAGAAGAACTTTGTTGTTGGTATTATTGTCATTATTTTTGTTACTATTGTTGCCATTCTTCTAATTTTTCGATTGTTATTCTTGCGAACATAGTTGCAATTGTTGTTCGTATTTATTACTTCAAGTACCCATTACTCTTCTTACTATTGTTACAACTATTATAATATCGCCTATTACAACCACTACGTACTACCATTACGGCTCTTACTACTTATTACAGTTGTTGTTTGCTGCCATTGCTTGCCATGATTTGATTTTCACGATTAATACAGTTCATTTATAGTATTAGCACCGCGACCGGCAACGACACCAAATGAAGCATTCCGGTGCTGCGCAGGCACCGTCACTTGAAACCCTGCGAATCGGATTTGTTGAAGAGCTTGCTGTACGAAAACGCAGCCAATGACCTACCCCTAAACGAGGCAGGCAGCAGAGGTGCGTAATTTTCGCTTGATCCAGCTTTAGTTTTCGTCGATTCCGGCCGGTTAAACAGTTTCTTGATCTTTTGATCGGGCACCGGCAGCCGTTATCGTGGCTTTCCCTTTGTCTCTCATTCTCTCACCCCTCTGTCTCAGAGTCTGTCAGCGAAACCTGTATGTAAGCTCCAAGCTACGGGATGCAGGGACGCTTGTTGAAAGAGTGTCGACGTACACCCGAGGTGCGGCAGATCCTCTATTTTTCGGTGCCTTGGTCCGAGAAGCCTCGTGGAGTTGCTGTGAGTGGACACCAATGGACCAGCCGAGGATGTTGAGGACCACGCGGTCTACACGGTGGACCTGTTGAACGCCTCTGCCGTGGCGGAAGTGGTGGTTGGCATTCCAGGCATCATCACGGGGCAGCCCGTGTGCTGAACTGACACACATGTACGACACACATCTGCGCGTTTTTTTGGTCATTGCCCTTTCGACGACCATCTCTCAACTCAGCAAAAAGAGGGTTGGTGCTGGAGCAAGCTGTGTGAAGGAGACTAGCTCTCAGAGACGTTATGCAGGAATGCCGGGGGACTTCGGGGATACGCCCTACAAGCGGCCTGCCTTGCAAGCCACCTGCTCAGCACTGGAAACCCAGAACCGACCGAAGCCGAATTCGTTCTGCCTTCTTGTGATTAGGGCTTAGGGCCGTTTAGTTCCAGGGCTTCAAACAGCCTCATAGCCTTTCTGAGAGACTCTGAAAGTCCTAGGCTCTGCTCCGCCGCCCCGACGGCCTGGCACTGGATCCTACAGCTCAGCGGCTGTGCCCCTGCCGCATTTGACTCGCATTTAGGTCCAGGTGACAGGCCGGGTGACTGTCGCAAGCACCTGCTGCATGCTCCCCATCGTCGTTTGACGACCACCGAGAGCCAAAAGGCTACCAACATTCTCTGAGCACATAGCTCCGAAAGGGTCTGCTGCAGCAGTCCCAGTCAGAGCGTCAGGCATCACACGTTGTCGCAGTAAGTGCTCGGGCGAACCGGCATAGCAAGGGGTTTTATCTACGTTGGGTAGATTTCTGAAATTACCACGCATCCTCAGAGTTTCTGAAAACCGGAGACACGGAAAGTCCACAATGACGCCAATGTCAACACATTTAGTGATTCTACCACGCTGCCTGGTGGAAATTTGCCCATCAAGCTGTGTTGCGTCGCAGTGGCTGTTTCATTTGGAACCTGTTTGAAGCACCTTGGGGCTAAGTTTTGTTGGCGACTCCACCAGTGCGGTCCGAGTCGTCGACCTCGAGCATCTCGCCCGAAAAGGACTTGAGCACTGCCGTCTAGCCTGGATCTGAAGACCATGAGCTCGACGGCTGGTAGCATTTTGTCGGTCGTGGCGAGCTTTCCTGTTTTTCGTCGAGTCGCCTGCAACCGCCTGCAGGTCTGGGGTGCTCACCCTGGCGCTCGTCCGTCCCGGTTTCCAGCACGACTCCGGCAACCATGGCCCTATTGGACCAGCTCATCCAAATCTACCACTCTATGCATGTATACGTACACACTAAACACATAGTACACACCACACACATAGTTTTCACGCTTATCTCTTATCTATCTATCCACCTATCTGTCTGTCTGTCTGTCTGTCTGTCTGCCTGTCTGTCTGTCTGTCTGTCTGTCTGTCTGTCTGTCTGTCTGTCTATTGATTTATCTATCTATCTGTCCGTCTGTCTATCTATCTAGCTAGCTAGGTATCTATAGGCTAAGGTTATGGGTCAAAGGCAAAGGGACACGTAAAGGCAAGGATTCAGGCAAAGGTTTCGATGGTAAAGGCAAAGGCAAGGAAGTGAGGACCGCAGCATAAGGAAAGAGGAGACCAAGCAGATCAAAGAAAAGAAGCAGCAAAGGTAAGAACAAAAGGAGAAAGCACTAAAAGGAAAGAAAGCAAAAGCAGAGGAGAAGCAGTGAGACCTTTTTCGGTCAGGACAAAGGAAGTGAGTCAGCAGCCTTTTGTTTCAACTGCAGGAAACCGTGCAAGGATGGTGTAACCGTTCGCATGCGTAAAAATGCTTTTGCGTGGCTAAAAAGGCTACGGATGATGATCTAAGTAACTCACTAGTCAAGGATCACAGTTTTAGTACAGCAGCGACCTTGGAGAGTTTGCCAGTGGACTTGAAAGAGTCTGCGAACAAGGAGAAGAGTTTTGGTATCAGTGTGTTTTCAAGGAAAGGATCGTCGAAGCCAGTTTAGTTTGGAACGATTTTCACTCACTTCGACGGCGGGGTGATAAACATTTTGCCCGTATAGGAACACAAAGTTTAGAATATTTGTAAATGTCAAGGAACGACCTGACCGTGACCGTGACACTCAGGCTCGAGACCGGACCACAGGTGTATATACGTATACAAGAAAACTGAGCACGTGACATTACAAACAATATCGTCATATCCATGTTTCTTAAATGTGTACTTTAATTGAGATATACGCCTATACTTAAAGCATAAAAGTTTACAACACGTGCCGGTAAGAGGTGGCTATGTACATGTATATATGTATATATATATATATGTGTACAAGAAACGTCAAATATCTGATGACACACAGGAGGCCGGGGGTCAGATTGGGTCTGGAGGGTTCCGACTGGGTTAGTGGGGGGTCAGATTGGGGGCAAGGAGCCGGAGAGGTGCGAGGGGTCAGATTGGGGTAAAGTCTGGCCCCAGTCGCAATTCAGTGTTGCCACATGAAATGACGGCTGTAAAGCAAGAACAGAGCGGACACGAGACTCCGAAATAAGGACACACGGCCGCACCAGAAAGGAGGTTTCGCGCAGACTTACTCCCCTCACCAACTCTCCTCTGCAGCAAGTGCTCGTCAGCCCCCGGCGTCTTGCTGCGTCACAGGAAAAGCCCGCGATGGCACCCTGGCAGAGGGTTTGCTCCCCACGCCGGTTCGTCCGGCATGGGGGCAAGGCTTCCGCTGGGGGGTGCTTTTCCCAGCACCTGTGGCAGAACCTACCCCGCGGAGCAACAAAGGCTCTGCTGGTCTGCGCAGGCTCATGTTCTGCCATGATTCTCGTTTTTCTTTTTTTTTTTGGAGGGGTTCAGTCTGGAACATAATTCTACTTTGCTTGCTTCCAGGCAACGATTTTCCCGGCGATCCCCAGGATGTGGCGTGGCACATGCAGAAGATGCAGGAGGCACGATGAGTTAAACCCTGTACATTTACCTTCCCCGTCCTCTGACCCTGCGTTTGCCTTGTGCTCCGAAACTGCTGCATTGTGCTTTTGTCAGGACTATCGCTGGCATGGTATTGAGGTCATGCACTTGGATGTCATACCGACGAGCGATGCACAGCCATGACTGTTAGTGGGCTATCGGTCGGCATTCATCTTTCATACTGTTTAGCTCGGGGTGACGTTAGAAACAAGTGTGCCGTGTGTGATTGCCTCTGGACATGCGTCTTTTATATATCGCGCTCTAGATCCTTGCAACTCTGAAACCTATGACATCGTGCCGGTCTCAGCCCTGGTGTACGCGTCCTCTAGCTCTGGCTCGGCCGAGCGCTTGCACTTGCGTTGCTTGTGTTTTCTTTCTCTGCTGCCGGCCGCGCTCTCTCGCCATTACATACAATGTGGCAAGAAGAAGGTTTTAACGTGCAGGAAGTTAAGTTTACCTGAGGGCGGTCCCACGCAGGATGCGGATTCTCCTTCCTTTGTTTCAGGCGACGTCTACAATGTGGAACTTGTCATGTCCACGCCTCAGACAGAACCGACTGCGCCCTTGCTCTGCACGCGTACCTTCTCGGTGTTTTCGTCAGCTGCTGGGCATGACTTGTTTTGCTGCCGCAGCCACTGAGCACTCCTCTGCACGAGCTTCCGCTCCCTAGCTATTGCCGTGTCTTCGTTGTGTTGGAGGCGCTATGCGAGAGCGACACAGCTCGTGCGACAGAATTGCGTTGTAAATGCAGTTTGTACATGGTCGAAGGCACGCATGTCGACAGCTGCAAAAACTCTTCACTGGGTTGACATGAGCGACGACGACACCCTGGAGGTTGCATTTGCGATCCTGCTTATTGTTCTGTACTACTCGCTGCCTTTTCCTGTTGCAGGACTCCCCGTGGGACTGGCAGAATTTCTGCTACAACTACACCCGAGCCTTCTGCAGACTAACAGTCTCCACGCCGGCTCCAGCCTCAATGCGATGCATCTCCGTCGTTATACTTTTTGGAGTCTGTGATGTGATTGCAGTTTTTTCCATGTTTGCCAGACTCGCGCAGGTGGGGTACGTCGTCATTGATTCGCAGCCTCTGGAGCCGACGAGAGCGGAGGTTACGTCTTTTTGCTACTCTCACAGAGACACGTTCGTCTGTATTGCTCTATGCATCTTGCCTAGCGACGTCGGGAGGTCTTGCCTGCGCGGCCGCGGCCTCGCCCACGACCTTCGCGCGTACCCAAGAAGACTCGCCGATCCAAGGCTCCGTGTCAGGAAAGACGCTGGTAGTTGTGTAGAGCCTGCTCTGGCGTAGTCGTTGTGTCTGTGTGCGTAGGTCTTCTCGCCAATTTGGACAGATGCGGACGACGCCGCCCTGGACGAAGCCTGGGTACTAGCCGCGGAGGAAAGAGCTGCGCAGGAAACGGAGGCCAGCCCAAGTCGGTCTGCAAGTGTTTTTCCTCTCATTGTTTATATCTGCAAGATGCAAACTTCCTGCAGTCACAGGTACAGGCGAGCGCAGAGACATGCAGCGCGGCACGCAAGCCGCCTACGCACGAAGTCTCTACGCAGGCAAACGCCCCGTGCGAAGCTTGTCCATGCAGCACCGCTGACACTCTCCGCCGTTCTTCTTCTTTTTTTTTATACCGCAGGTGGCCTCGCAGCGACGCACCTGGCATCCACAGCATGTGCATGTTCTAGGGGATCGATGCACCCCGGAGATAGGAGCGCGGTGGCTCTTTTTTATAGTCCTTGGACTGTTGTTTGTAGGGTCAGGGCCCTTTCAGCAGCGCAGGCAAGCAGGCAGTCACAGGGCGAACAGCAAATCACAGCTCATCACACACACAACCCCCCACACAAGTCACAACCACCCATCAAGCTGCAGACACCGCTCAACTTCAAGTCACACTGCGAGACGCTGCGAGACAGCAAGACACTGCGCACACCGCTGCACACACCGCTCACACTGCAGGACGCTGTAGGAAAGGCAGCACCCCATGCAGAATTAGGTACGACAACAGCCAACCGAGACTCAGATTCTCATTTGTTGACAAAAAACGCTCTGCGTGTATTATATGCATGTTTATATATGTCATTATGCATATCCGCTGTACATGTACAACACACATACATCTAAACTTGCTATCATTTTTCATGTCATATGCAAGCGACAGATACATGAGACTGCAGCAATATGAAATGACGTTACCATAGTTTCGTGACGGCATACTCATACCACGTATGAGCATGAATACTACTGTAATACATTAATGTGCATTCTTTGATTGCCCTGTCGCAAGGTACACCGCTTCCTTTATGATGCAGTGTTCGTGACAATCGCGTGTCCGCATCAATTGTTTTCTTGATTTTGCTCAAAGCACGACACTTTTTCCTCAAACAAATATACACACCAGGGACAGAAGTCT